ATTAATTCTTAAAACGACCAGCTAGTTTGTTGCAACTATAGTACCTAAACTTTGGTTAAATAAAAACTGTTGTTGCTAATTATGGGTATAACTGTCACACCTCCTTTTTACTCGAAAGAGGATAGGGAGTTTTTAAGTGACATAAATTGAAATGGATTATTTTTTTATTTCAGAGTCGCCACATGAAATATTTATGGTATCCCAAGTCACCGGTTTATTTTAAATCCCAAATCGAGGAAATTTGACTCTGTTTTACAATCTGCGAACATAGAAGATCGGGTAAGGAATTATGTTAACCCGAGAGAAGGTCTTAGGCATTTCCGGACTTCGTGGTTTTAGCACGGTCGCTCAACTGTTAATAATTGGCTTAATTATCTGGTTTTTTACATGTTTTAAACATATTATGCATTTTTAAATTTATAACCGCTTTTATTTATTTAGTCGTATTTTAGGATTTATGGAATTATTTTTTGAACAAGTTATGATTGTTTTACACTTGCCGGTTTGGAACACATTGCAAACCACGCTACATGAAATGCACCCGCGATTTGCGACATGTTTATTTTTATAATATTTAAAGTTGTTATGATCGGATCACATGAAATGCATACCCGAATTTGGGAATTAGGCATCATAACTTTTTTCACGAGAACCGTACCTATAGTTACGATGATTTGATTACGCGCCTAAATCAAGCTACGAATGTTCAGATATTTCTAAAATAATTTGATTTTTATAAGCGTCTACAGCAGTGTCTAATGATAGAATTATCAACTAACTTTGGGAAAAATTTGGCTTTAACGGTTACAAGCCTAAAGCTCAAGAGGAAACAACCCAATTGGCTATTTGGTAAAGCTAGCCCAGTCGCAATTCTTTAATGACTGGGCTTATTGCGATTCTATGTTCAATGCCATTAAAAATCACCAAAATACACATTTTTCCGAAAGCTAGAATTCAGTTCAATCAGAGGTAAAAATCAGAAGATGGTTCAAGTTTTTAAATTAATTATACTTACATGTGATTTTCAATACATAAAAATGAGTTTATGTTAAAGTTCAAAGAGGTAAGCCTATAGCTGGGATCAAGCTATGGGCTTAGTACCCAGGCCCATTCGCCTGGGCCCAAACTTGCTCAGGTAATTCTCAGATTAGTCCTTGTTACAAGTCTAGCCCAATTCGTATAGCCTACATTCAGGAAATTTTGTGGCAATGGGTTATATTATAACAAAGAGCTTATAATATTATAAATATAACTGTTAATCACCATGATCAAACTTGGAATTAAAATATTCCAGTAGTCAATTTACTAGTGAACAGTCCATAAATTTATAAAACAATCCTAAATACAACTATATGTCTAAAAGAAAGAAAGAAAAACTTTAAAGGTAAAGTTCCTCATGGCTTCGAGCCTTCAACTGTTGCAAACCCTTTAGTAAGCTCCAGCTTGCAAAAATCAGCTACAAAGCTATTTTTACAAGTCAGCATTTGGTTCCAGCTCTAAGATTTTCTTTTATTGTTGTCAGTCACATATAACCAGAAAATAAAATGCAAGTTTCATTATAATGGGGAATCCATTAGCATTGTATAACAACAAAGTGGCAAACAGTGGTTAATACCAGCCTAATAACCATATCAACTTATCTTATAAAGGCATGGTTCATATAAAAAAATATGATAAGAAGTCAGTTTACAAGAAAGAGGTCTGGAATTTTAGGGAAGCACATTTATTGAACAGAAACCAAAAAAAGAATTTGAGACAAGTGTAGAGATTATAGGCAGAAATAACATACATATCTGAATCCAAACCATAATGTCATTCATGACTAATTTTTGGATAAGGAGTTACATACCTACTGCAATGAGGGTAAAAATGAAGCAAAGGTGAAGCTCTAATTGAAAGTTATGAAGGAGACAACCAGCAGAAACCCAGAACACCAGCAAGAATTCAGCCCAGTATACCAAAGGACAAACACTTAGACTCTCCAAAATCAGAATACTAGAGAAAAGTAGCCTAGAACTCTAACTAGAAACTGATGTTTTCAGCAAGAAAGTTGCAGAAATTTATTTTCTTTGTGTATTCAGAAATTTTAGGTGACCATCGGCTACTAGTTCTCTCCAGAATGAGTGAATAACTATTCCTTTTATTGGGTATACCAAAAAAGCATCAAAAAAGCATATTTTACCCTAAATTTCCTAAATGTCAGTTAGTACAACATATTTGAACAGCTGTATGTCTTTTTTCAGCCCAATTTCAGTATTTTCATGCTAAAAATAGGGACAGCTGTACAATGCTAGAATATTCTGATATTTACTTATTAAAAATTCCAATTTTACCCTTTTATGTTCTACTTATATCAATTCTAATCCATCTGACCTAGGTTTTGATTTCAAAATCCTTATGGAATCTTCTAGAACTATCTAGGTGATTCTAGCATGAAAATTCCTAACATTGTTTGCATTGTACCCCCCTAACAGATTTGGGTACTATCTTTCATTTCTGAAATTAGTTTCAAACTTAAAGGCATCCAGGGTTTAATCCAAACACACCAACTAATTAACGAATTAAATGTTCATCTAATTGACTGAATTTAAACAAATAGCATATCAAAATAGTGACTAATTGTCACGACCCAATTTAGGACCATGACTGGCGCTCAGGAGCTAGTGCTCCCAAGTAAGCCTTATCGGTATTTTACAGAAAATTGGACAGAGTTTCTTCTATTTTTGGAATATCCAAAAATAAACCTATCTTAGAAATCAACAACACAACCAACCGATATCGACCAAACAAGCTATAATCCTCATTGACGAAATATTTCCAACACAATAATACTAACTTCATCTCCAAGTATACGATAGGAAAGTCTAATACCAATCACGAGGCTATATCAACAAAAGAATACTTACGACACCCATAAAAATGAATATGGAATGACTCTAAGTGTTTCAAGAAAAAGACTATAATAAATAAATAACAATTTTTGTCCACGCGAATAAATGTGGGGCTCACCAAGAACTACCAAATCTTGTTCTCTAATTAACAGAATCCTTGCCTACGTCTACTGCTGTCTCTGTAAAAATAATAGCGGGAAGTGAGTTGCTAGCTCAGTGAGTAATAATATTTAACCACAACTAGTTTTTAATAGGGACAAGTCAGAAAACATGCTTGTATAATAATCACAAAATAAAATGCCCCTTTTAAAATGGTAATAATAATCAGTCTCGTCATGTGTTTGCTGTAACAAAATCAATTTAACAATTCAGTAATAAACTTGGTAAATACTGTATCATACCAAATTTTTATATTTGGGAGGTTTTCAGAAAAGGATCATGTAATCGGTATCACTGTGTGGACCCCTTCATAAAAGGAGTCAAGTAAAATTGTAGGTCCCTACTTGAGGGAAAACTGTAACTATAAGCTAGTTCTACCTTCCCACTAGCGCGGGTTATAACTGTAATCGGTTATCTGTAAATACAATGTGCACCAGGTCTAATGAACCCGTCGTAAGCTACAAGATCCTTCAAAGTCTCCTCCTATTTATACTCTTTCTTGTAAATAGTAAATACTCGTACAAAAGCATTTTCAAAATAATAAAGGGCATTTCATTCCTTATTAAATCTTGTAATTTTATTTCGGTAACAACAATCATGTCTCAAGTAACAGTAAAACATGTCTAGTAATAGTGAGAATACTTCAAATAACTGTAATATCTCAAGTAATGGTAAAACATATCTAGTAACGGTGAAAGTATTTTGATTAATCGGTAAACATCTCAAGTAAACTGTTCGGTATCATATCAAGTAAAAGACTTGTTCCACATGCAATTTCAAAGCATCGGTAATACATTTATTTTCAAAATCATATATAAACCATGTAGGTTATGTAAACACAAATTGTGGTAAGATTACTACTCACCGTATGTGTGTCGAAATACCAAACTCGTCGCCTCGAGCGATCTGTATGACTTTCTTCAATCAATCTATAATCACATCAATATCGATCTTGTGTTAATTGCCTCATTTAGGCTAAATCCATCACTAATTTAGAATACTCAATCCTCCAAGTTTTATATTTTATCATCAATTTGCCAAATTATATTTACCCATGCTATGAGTAATTTAAATTAGTCCAAAATCTTGTAAATAAAAAGGTATTTATATGGTTTATTCCTTGTACTGTTCAATTTCCTTAGTCGTGTGCATAAATTGAAACTGAAATAACCTTACTGTCCATAATATTCCTTCTTAATTGGTACTTATCTTTTGTATTCAATACTAGAATCGCAACATTCCAACCCAAATTCGATATTGTCATTGCAATACAGTTAAACACCAAAACTTAATCCTCGCACCCTAACTTGATTTACACCTAACAATGATCATATATAATGAGACTAGTTTAAGTACAAATACATCAATACCCTTCTTTTTTCCAAGTGAATTTATCCTACAGTTACATTAACCAACTTTCAATTGCAAAATTTGCCAAAATAACTCTTATTAGTATTTAATTTCTTATACCGTGTGAAATCCTTCAAATATAACTGAGATAAAAAAAATAATTACCAGAAGAAAGGAACCCAGATGAGAAATTTGAGTATTACCCGTAAGAACCAGTGCGTTTTTAAATTTCTCAAGGTTTGGCTCTAGCCTCTATCTTCTTCTTCTTTTTCTTCTTCTCCTTTGTTTCCTCCTCTATCGTTTTTTTCTTTCTTTCTTGGTTTTTAGATTCTGTTGCTTAGCAGCAACTTTTCCCCTTTTCCCTTTTTGTTTTCCCGTTTCTCGTTCTTATGGGCTTTAGCCCATTGTCCTATTTTTTTTACTTTAGTTAAAGACATATATGCCTTTATTAATACATAGGGTATTATATTCTCCCCACTATATGAAATTCGGTCCCCGAATTAAATTTATGTACGTACTTGTGGACTGAAATAAATGGGAATACTTTGCTTATATATCTTTTTCTACTTCCCACATAGATTCTTCAACTGTATGATTTCTTCATAACACTTTAACGAACACAATTTCTTTTGACCGTAGCTTCCTTACTTGCCTATCAACAATAGCCATGGGCTCCTCCTCGTAAGACAACTTCTCATCAAGCGGTATAACAGGTGCTTCAAGCACCTGAGATGAGTCTGATATAAATTTCCTTAGCATTGAGACATGAAAAACTGGATGAATAAAGGACAACTCAGGAGGAAGTGCCAAACGATAAGCCACCGCTCCCACTCGGTCTAGCATCTCATACAGTCCTATAAACCTAGGGATCAGCTTGCCTGTTTTCCCAAACCGCATCACAGCTTTCATAGGAGAGACTCGTAGGAACACTTTGTCCCCAATTGTAAATACTAAATCTCTTCTTCTCTTATCCGTATAAGAGTTTTGTCTACTTTGGGCTGTAAGCAATCTTTTTATGATCAATTGGACTATGTCCATAGCTTTTTGTACTAAGTCAGGTCCCAATAAGTTAGTCTCACCAGCTTCAAACCATCCGATGGGAGAATGACATCCTCTACCATACAATGCTTCGTACGGTGCCATTTGAATACTGGACTGGAATCTATTGTTGTAAGAAAATTTAGCTAAAGGTAGATAAGCATCCCAACTACCTCCAAACTCAAGAATACAATCTCTCAACATATCCTACAAGATCTGTATATCACATTTGGACTTTGTGTTTGCGTGCGATAAATCTAGTACTAAGATCTACTCGTGTACCCAATATTTCTTGAAAAGGTTTTCAAATCATGAAGTGAATGTGATCCTTTATTAGAGTTGATGGACAATAGATCTCTATTGAGTCAGATAGGTCCGTTCGATGGGGGACCTCGGGATCGTCGTCAGGGTCGAGCTCGAGCTATCGGGGATAGTGGGGAATGGGATAACAATGGAGGATATAATTAAACAAGGCTCTTTATGTCCAATACTAAGCAATATAATAAAGAACAAGTAAGAAGGCAATAAAAGCTAAATGGCCTCGAGCCAGTGAGGGCAAGCGAGTTAGAGAGGAGAAAGAGAGAGAAGATATTATTGCATTTGAGTAGAATGGTTGGAGCTCTACCTTTATAGGGTGTTAGCGACTCCCCTTTTATAGAAAGGAGGGAGCCTAAACTTAGTACAAGATACGTGGCATGATAAAAGAAATGGGATGGGGCAACCGACTAGCTTTAGAATGTACGTGCAGCTGATATCGAGCCGCTTGAATAGACCTAATCGACCCCGGGTGCATTCCTCGAGATTTCTGCATTTTTCGGGGCTTCATTCGACATTATCCTTGGCGCGGTACCAGCCGATCTTGAGGGAAGTGACTGGATCGAGATCCCGGGCTTCCGGGATCACCCTTCGAGGCATTTTGTTGAGGAGAAATCGGCCTCCCAAATTTCACTGTGCACAGATACTCTCCGCATTTCTTAGAGGGAAGTGATAAGAAATGATTTTGATACCCTACTTCTCGGTCTCCCATAACGACGTCGCGCTGACGGCGCAGCCCTCTTTTTTTAGGTGTCAAGGCGCTTTGCCTTTCCACTTCTCTAGGATCACTCGAAATGTTGCGACTCTTCGATCTTCATTGCTATTGGTTCAACTTCTATGAACGCATTGATTGCGCCTACTATTACTCTTTTCGAGGGCGGTAATGGTGTCGTTGGTTACTTTGCCCTCCCTATAAATGGGGCTTTTCGTAGTTGGCTTTTTATTCAAACTTCATTTGATACCCATCTTTTCTCCCTTTCCTACTATCTTAAGTTTTTGTCATCTCGTCATGTTTGAGGCCCGTAGCCTCAAGATATTTCTCCATGTGCACGTTGGTCCAACCCTCAATCCTCTTTTGGTTGGGCAAAGTTGTGCCGCTGTGGTACCGTTGTTGTTGTTGTTGTTGCAGTCGCCATTGGCCTAGGGTGATGAGGCAGAGGACCGATTTACTCTAACCCCGGGGATACTTTGGATTATGCACTACTTCTCAAGAGGGGGTTGGGATTATACACCGTTTCTCACCCTCCTCCCTCGGCTAGGCATGTTAAACCCTTTTTGGATTCTCGAGGGGTGTGTCGGCGGGGTCTGCCGATTGTTGTTTTTCGGGCCGAGGCAACGTCTCAAGAAGTGGCTTGAAAATGGCAGTATTGGCGGAGTTCGTGCTAGCCAAATATTTTCACCCAGCCACTTCTTGCGTTCTTCCGGCTTCTCCTTCGTCATTTTGCTCTTCTCCCCCGCCTTCCTTTTCCATACCCTCCCTTTTAAAGATGCTATTTTGGAAGGATTAGGATCGGACTTGGAAGATATTGTCTTTGAGGTCATATGACTAAGAGGATGATAACGGAGACGCAACATGAATAGGCTAGGTCCTTAGGCTCTTGTTGTATGCATATCATTTGTACTTCTTTCTTGATTCCTTCCTACGACACTTGTTATATCTCTTTATATTTTTGGCAGCTTCGAATGCATGATCTTGTTTTGTCACCTGTGGTACTGGCCTTGGGCGCGAGTATTCTTCCCAGCCTTTGGTTGATGAAACGGCTTTGCGTAGGGTCCTTCGTGACTTCTCGAACTGGACCCGAATTAGGCCAATAACCTCGGGCCGCCGGGATCCTTTCTCTGCTTGAAAGCGTGGATAATATCTTCGGGCCTCATAATAGCCTTCGAGAAGAGACTTTCCTAAGGACTCGCAGTCCCGAGACATCGATGACTTCCTGGAGGCGATCTCTGAATGAAGGCCTAGCCGTGCTTCGGGCCACTTGGGTCATTAATCGGAACCTGTTTCGCACGGGTGTTTGTTAGAGATGACCATTTCTTTGTAAACTAGCCTTCTTTGGCGGAGGCTTTTTGAAGCTGTACGCCACTCTTGTGTTGGTGAAGGCATTGTTGGCCTGCTGGAGCACTGTCTTGCTATGACGGAGGTCTTCGGGGTTGAGCATTACCTCGAAACCGGAGGCAGTGCTGATGGTTGGTGCCTTTGGTTGGTGTTGGATCATTCCTATCCTTCTCGCATGTAATCGTGAGGCTGCTTCCGCTTCCCGGGGGTCCTCGGGGTTTGCTGATTTCATGGTGCCGATGGGTCATGCCCTTAGCAGCTGTTTATTCGGGGAACGGTAGAGGCTGGGTATGGTAATAAATGATATGTGCTCTTCATTATCATGAAGGAGCTTTTCTCGAGGTGAGATGGGCACGTGCTTCTGAGGAGAGTGCATCATTCGAGCTTGGCGTCCTTAGAGTCCTTGGTTCCGGAGCAGCGGTTCCTTTGGGCCAACAAGGGTTGGGCCACCAGGAGGGTGCTCGGTCATCGAGTAGGTTTTCCAGTTTCACTTTGTGGTAAGTTTCAGCATGGTTCCTCCATATCTTGGGTCTTCCCTTTCTTATCGGGTTTTCCCTCCATAAGACTCCGACAGACCCATGCATTGAGATGCTCCATCAAGGGGCTATACTTCGGGGGGGCCCTAGATGAGGGTAGGTCCCTTAGGCTTCTTGGCGAGGGTAAGGATGGGTCGAGTCGGTGCACTGGCGGTTTGGGACATATTGGAGTTGGCATTATAGAAGCCATTTGATGAGGCAGGAGCCTTCTTGTGGTAGGCGTTTTGCCTGTTCGACCTTTGAGTTTAGGCTTTGCTTATTTTTTAGCTGTAGGAGAAAAAAAAAAGCAAAGGCTTAGGAGTACCTTAGAGGCGGAGTCGATCGAGCTAGGAATGCCTGAAGTATCAAATACAGGCTTAAGCTTCGATCTGGGTGGACATGATCGTGAAGCTATAGCTTGAATCCTCAAAAGTCTAGATTGAGAATAACCGGTCTCCGGACTGGTATAGTACTAATCCGGACCGAGGATAATGAAGGAGTGATGACTCATCGCCGATGATTGAGCCGGGTTGGAGCGGGCCTTCGAGGGATACATTTGTCATAGAGCTTCGGGACAAGCGCTTGAAGAGACCTACGCTAGGGGTTTCGTCCTTCTAGGAGGATTTTCTTGAGCGAAAGTGGTCGAGCATAATGCTCGGTTGCTTATTGCCGATGCCACGGAGAGCGAGGCTGGGGCTGGTAGGCCGAAACCCTTTGGGGTAGAGCATAGATTTTGCCACTTTGTATTTTGCTCCTTTATATCTCTTCTCGTATCGCCTTTGACCCGGCGGGCTGGTTCTTGCGTTTGGTAGGATCCTTGTAGATCCGGAACTGATCAGACGGGCTCGGAGGCTTTTAAGTGCGATCCTTGATGCAAGCAGGAGTTGGGGCCTCCATGTTTTGCCCAGCTGTTTTAGGCTCAGTCTCTGAGTCAAGCCTTTTTTGAGCTTGTTGTCCTTCCTTCTGTGCTTGTGCAGGCGGATGGTGATTGTTCTCATTTCTTTCCCTTGGGTATTTCATTGTTTCAACTATTTTGGGTCCAATCTCTGAGTCGCGTTGTGATTCGAGCTTTAATTTACCCTTAAATTCTTTCTTGCCTGCATGGGCGGACAATGATGGCCTTCATTTCTCGCCCTCGGGTGTTTATTGTTTCAACAATTTCAGGTCAAGTCTCTGAGTCGCGTCACGATTCGAGCTTTAATTGACCCTTAAGTTCTTTCCTACCTACATGGGCGAACAATGATGGCCTTCATTTCTCGCCCTCGGGCGTTTGTTGTATCAACTATTTTGAGTCCAGTCTCCAAGTCGTGTTGCGATTCGAGCTTTAATTGACCCTTAAGTTCTTTCCTGCCTGCATGGGCGGACAACTGTGGCCTTCATTCCTTGCCCTCGGGCATTTGTTGTTTCAACTATTTCGGGTCCAGTCTCTGAGTCGCGTTGCGATTCAAGCTTTAATTGACCCTTAAGTTCTTTCCTGCCTGCATGGGCGGTCGACTATGGCCTTTTGTGTTTCGGGTCGAAATAACCTTACAGGCGCATAGCTCGGAGGCTCACTCGGCAGGCGATAGTGGTATTTATGTCGTGCCCTTAGGCATATTGCAGTTTACTTATTTTGGGTCCAGTCTCCGAGTCACGTTGCGACTCTAGCTTCAGTTGACCCTTAAGCACTTTTTCAGACCGGCAATAATGTCTCTTACGCTATTTTGGCCGTTGAGACCTTTTAATATGTGTCCCGGAGGCTTGCATAGTTAACTATTTTGGATCCGGTCTTCGAATCGGGTTATGATTCGAGCTCATTTTAACCCTCAAGTTGTCAATTTTCAAGCTGGAGACAATGGCTTTTCCACTGTTTGGTCGTAGAGACCTTTTAGTGTGCGGCCCGGAGGCTTGTTTGGCTGTCAACAATGGCTCTTACACTGTTTTGCCTGTGGGCTTTTTGTAGGCTTTGTTTTCTACTTGTTAAGATCTTTTGAAATAGTTTTGCCTGACCCATCATCGGTTCTGGAAGAACCTCAATTTCAAGTCGTTGTTGGAGGTGTTTTGAGCACCTCAGAAGGTTCATAGCTAGTAGGCTGAGTAGGTCGAAGCCTTTTGGAGCTGACATAGTCGAAGCT